GAAACTAAAATCCCACCTAAAAAATTTATTTTTACCTTTATTAGTAACTTTTTTAAAAAAAAAATTAAAAGTGACGGCCAATCATTTGAAATTCAAATTTTAAAAAAAAAAACAATGTAATTAATGTACAAAATCATTCTGGTCAAATACGGTGGTTACTGCCGTTCAGATGATGCAAATATGTTAGTTCAGATGATGCAAATATGTTAGGTAAGTACTATTTTATTGATAAATTTATTTACTTTGTTTTAAAGAAAATAGTATGTTATTTTATATAATTCAATAAATTTGGGAATAATATCTTATATAAAAAATTGCATGCATCAAGATTTAATAGGAATTCAATTGATTAAAAAAAATAAATAAATCAAAAGTTCTATAATTTGAAAATATTGAGAATATTTTCTTAGACACAAATGGCTATTATAATATATTATAATCCGTTATTTACAGGCACGGACCTACATGAAGTCCGACTAATTTTTTTTTGAAAAAATCATTATATATATTTAAAAAAAGCTACTAAATATGGACAAAAATGCAACAAGTATTACAATATATACATAATTAAATTAATAATATCGTTTAGTTATTAAAAAATATAATAACAATTCTTATATTTTTCATTTGTAGACAAGTTTTTGAAAATACTTATAATGATCTACTATTTCGACCTCTTAATTGAAAATTGATTTAGTGATTTATAAAATCGAATATTTAGCTGGATTGTTATATTTTTTAATGTGGGTGTTTTATTGAATAGATTATTGAATAGTGATGTTCTATACATAGACTACCACTGTTCGAAGCTCTGTATTATCTGTGCTAATTTGTTGTATGCCAATATCCTACTCTATTCGGAGATAATCTCGCGATGCTAGCTTACAAATGGGTAACTACTAACTGGGAGTTGTTTAGTCATATCTTGTTGTTGCGAATGTGAGATGAAAGTTGTCAAGTTGTACTGCAATTTAAACTTTTCTTCCTTATTCAACAGTTAAGTGTATTGATGCAGTTTTATTGCGGCATTTTTTCTTTCAGCTATTTTTTGCAATCCTCTTGACAGATAGCTAAGTTGGAGGTACAAGGTTAGCTAAAAAGGCGTAGCCACTTTATTCGTAAGTTTCTTGTTCTTTTTATCTGCTTAATGGCTTTTAAGTCAATTATTGCTGCAGCCTGCAGCTATGGAAATAAAATAGGTAGACAAAACTGCCACTTGGTCAATTAGAATTCGTATGCGCATGGCCCCGTTGAAGCTGTTTGAGGGGATTTTAATTTTTAGCTATGGTACAAAATGCTACAAAACAAGTAAACTGTTCCTTTTTTGTTGGACAAAGTGACTAAGTAGACAATCATGGTGTGGGCAGCAAGTCCTTACAAATGCTAGAATCCGCAGCTGATAAAATAGTTATGATTCAAAAGGTGAGGATTTCTAATTGTGGCCATCACATTTTTGCTAATTGTGGAATTTTGTCGGTCATCCTTTTTCCACATTGGTCATGTGTGAACCACTGCGAACATATCGAGTTAAGTCTAGCATGAATCACTTTTACGTTGTTTGATATCATTAGACATTATTATATTTTTTTTTTTTATTAAAAGCGTGCTCGAGCTTAGCTTTGTTATATTTTCAAACAAAAATGCATATCTGGAGTTGGTTCATTATGCAAACAACCAAATTCCGATTTAACAATTGAGAGTCAGAGTGGTTTTGTTTCTATTTTCCAGGGCTAATTAGTCTAAGTAGTCATTATTTTGAGTTTTATAGATTTTCTTGATAGTCCAAGTTGTATTC